CTTGGCTCACTGCAACCTTCGCCTCCTGGGTTCAAGTGATTCTCCTGCTTCAGCCTCCCAAGTAGCTGGGACTACAGGTGCCCGCCACCACACCTGGCTAATTTTTGTACTTTTAGTAGACATGGGGTTTCTCCATATTGGCCAGGCTGGTCTCGAACTCCTGACCTTGTGATCCGCCTGTCTCAGCCTTCCAAAGTGGTGGGATTATAGGTGTGAGTCACCGCGCCCAGCCTACTTTTCAACTCAATGTGTAGAGTCTGTCATCACCCAAACTCCTTTTTAAGATTTTTTTTAAAAAATTGCCCAAACTGTTTTTATATACCCAAACTTATTACACAGACTGCTTTCTAAGATTATTTTTATCATAGGGACTGAGGCTGCTGGGTCAGCCTGAAATGAGACCACCTCAGATTTTAGTGTGGCTTGGCATGTCACTATTATCAGGAGCAAGAGCTACAGGGGGTAAAAATTGCTTTGGAAAATCTGATTCCAAACTTCCCATGTACTTGGGTATTTCCCAGAGATGGTAAACTCAGAAATTTCTGTACACTCATCATTTTTTATTGCAAAATTCATTAAGCTGCCGTGCTATTATCATCCCATCTTGTCAAGATGATACATTACAGACTTCATTGCAAAACTTTAACAAGCAGGAGAAAGTACACCTCTCTCCTGACCACAGCACAGGAAAGCCTCTGGGTATTTTGTGTTTGCCTTCCTATTTTTTTATATAAATCTCCTTGTCTTTGTAAAACTTCACGCTGTCTGGTAACTCCCTTTTCTTCTTGTTTGATCATGTGGAGAGTCCGTTCCCTCCTTTTGGCTCTATGAGGCATCCTGAGAGGCTGTTAAAGAACAGTCCTCTTGCCTCTTCTTTTTGCCCTCTACTCTTAGGCACCATGGAAAGTTGGGATATTAGCCTGTATTCTGACAGAGTCCCATGCATGGTGGGAAACCTCCCGCAAATGTTTCATATTTACCCTCCAGCTCTGTGTATTCAGTGAGCCAGACCTGTTCGGGCCTGCCAAGACGTGTGAATTTGGCTTGGCTCTGTGAGTGCTTTCCTGGCCTCGCCTCTGGGTTCTGTGATAAACAGAGCTCCTGCCTCCCGTGTGTGATGGGGTTGCCATTAGAGTGGGTCGGAGTCACTTGGTAAATATGGAAAGTGAAGTCGCTCAGCTCCCAGATTTCCATGGCAACCCCCAGAACAAGTACAATATCACCAAAATTATTCTGCGGCTTTCCTTTTTTAGTTGCAGTGATTTGGTTGCATACTCATGTTTTTCCGTTCCTGATTTGTACAAAAAACAAAAACTCTGCCCACTGTCATCAGTACTTTGGTTTCAAGGACATTCATGGTCCCTGTCTAAAGCACCTGAAAAATTCAGTCACACAAAACTACCTCTTTCTGTTCCAGCAGCATAAATTTTTGACTGTGTATTATTCCCTTATATTTAATATTTATCTTATAACCATTCACGGAGCCTTAGTGTCAGTGACCCGTGGGCGAGGCACCAGGAATGGATGGCTAATGTTGACCTCACCAGCCACATTAATGGATGCCGTGTGGCCAGACAGCATGTCCCTGCCCTCAGGTAGTTTGCATCCTTAAGGACCAAGTTCACATCCAGTTTGTCACTCCTTATAGAACGTATGTTTGTGAAAGCACTGCCAATGCATGCTTACCATTATTTGGGGATTTATTTTATCATTTTCTTGTTGCTGGGGTCTTGTTTTCTGTGACTGATACAAAGACAGATTCTTGTTGACAAACATGTTTGAGGTGGGCAAGCATTCTCACTGACTTCAACCAGTTTAGGCATACTTCTGAGTTGTGGGCATTCTTTCCTTTTTGTCATGGTCCTCTATGATCTTGTTGACTTGACTCATAACTAGCTGTTTTTCTTTTGAAGCCCACTAGCCTATAATTTTTTTCCTCCAGCAACATAATTGCCATCAGTCCTTCTTATACCTTCTATGAGGATACCAGAGCTGGATTGAATCATCAGTGACTCAGGGAAGTCTAGCTATGTTATTTGAAAGATTTGCTTAATTTTAATTTTTTATTTTTTAAAGTGTTTTCTAGGCTGCCTGTTCTTGTGCGCTTCTGTCAGGAGCAGTACTCATTTGCCTAGCTGATGAAAAACGCTCCTATTTTGAGTGACATTACTGAATATTATTATTATTATTATTTAAAGGAGGCAGAATCTTGCTCTGTCACCTAGGCTGGTGTGCTGGGTCACCATCATACCTCACCACAGCCTTGAACTCCCAGGCTGAAGCAATTCTCCTGCCTCAGCCTCCCAAGTACGTGGGACCACAGGTGTGTACCACCAGGCCTGGCTAATTTTTAACTTCTTTTTGGTAGAGATGGGGGTCTCACTATGTTTACCAGGTTGATTTCAAAATCTTGGCCTCAAGTGATCCTCCCACCTTGGCCTCTGAAGGCGGTGGGATTGCAGGCATGAACTGCCATGCTTGGCTCATTTTCTCCTTATTTCCTAATTGACTCCAAATGCTTTAAAATTTGTCTTGGTATAGTTTGCTATAACCACTAAAACATTTGACTGGCCATTGATCTTATTCTCCACCCTTTCCCTGGAATAATCCTCACCTGCCTACTCACCCTCAGTAAAGATTGTCAGCCTTTCAGCTTAGATCCTCTACCTAGATGTTCTCAGTCTCATTATGTATTGTCTACAGATGATGAGACCTTTCTTCTACAAAATTGTAGTCGTTTTATAGTCAGGCAGTGCCAGGTTTCTGGGTTTTCTTGTCATTTGTCCCAGCAAGGGATACCAATAAAGAGTTGGCCTCTTAGGATGCATATTTGGCCCTCTTGGCTGTAAAACTATGAAGCCTTATGATACATTTTTATACCCTCCTTTACTGATGGATAGTAAGGGAGAAAAATAATCTTCTGCTAACGTTTTAGAAAGACGAATATACTTTTAGCAAGATACTGTTTTTAGTTTGTAGAATGATAATCCTCTCCTGGAAAAGTAAATATAATCACAGGAGAAATGTGAGCGATAGTTACCGTCTTCTGTTTCCAGAGAATTATGTCACGCAAACTTGGCCCTTTAAGCTTCTCAAAATCAAGTTAATAAACCTGTTTCTCTGTCCTATCCTGTGAAGCAGTAAATGTCTCCAGTTGAAGCCCGGGGAACCGTCCTCACTCTCTTTCTTTATATGGTAGTCTCGAGCTCCTCATGGTCTTTCGGGCATCTTTGTATGCGTGTTTTGTAAAAAGGAAAATCTTACTGATACTGATTCATACTGATAAATGGCACATCCAATCTCTCAGTGATCCCCTTATTATGTAATCTTAGTGTTGTTTTTCTTTCTGGTAGGAAGTTCCCATTTACAGGCCCTGTTAGTCCTCCTACATCTTGGCTCAGTGTAACTCTTTTGGCTTCTCTTTGTTGTCGTTTTTGTTCAAAAATGAAGCTCTTAAAATATGAACAGTTCTAAATCTCAGACATCAGTTCAATCTACTTTTTCCAAATCTACTTTGAGTTCAGTAGTCAGGAGGTAGCCTCATAGGGTTTTTCTCTCTCCTGTGGGGCTTTATCCAGGGCATTAAGGATTTGCTAAGATATCAGGGGTATTGGGGTGAGTGTGTATGTATTTAGTGTGAGGCTTACTGTAAAATCACTTCATAAGCATACTTTATTTTTACAGACATGACTCGTGCAAAAGGAAAAGTATTTTTATGACACATCATCCTCTTAGTTGCCTAAAGAGACCTGAGTTCAAATGTTGCCCTTTAAATTATCATACCACTGACTCTAGACTATCCTGTGAGGGACATATTGTGACATACCCCTGACTCACTGCAAAAAGGTCCAGGATTAGCCTAGATATTATGTTTAAGTGAATTAATTGCCAGAAGTATCAGTTGATTTTAGTATGGTATATCTGTAATCAATAGAGGACAAGAATCACATTCCACATCTATAATATTTTGCTACAGCAATGATGGGTGCCTGTACCATTTAGCTAAATTATCTTCAAAAATTGTGTTTTCCGTTCATGATTCCAAGTTTTTAAAGATGGGAAGAACATAAAGTTCTGTTCTTTGAGCGGTATTCTGAAGTTTACAAGATACATTCCTGCCTGTGATCCCACTTGATCCTCATGACAGTTCCACAAGCTGTGAAAGGCAGTTCTTGTTCTCCCCATTTTATAGATTGTTAACCAGGAATCCAAGATCAAGTAGAGATTGCCTGAGGTCACATAGCCAGTCAGGGCTTGAAGAGAACTCAGCTTTTCTGTCTCTTGGCTTGGCAATATTCTCCAAGCGTGAATATGACTGCTGGGACTATGGACTCAGGTATTTTGTTGTTGTTTATAGGCAAACCATTCTGCAGCCCAGTACAGAGTGATTTATCAAAGAATTCACTTGAAGTTAAACACCAAGTACATGGAGCTAGAGGCAACACCGAAATACGTGTCTGAGAAAGGGTCAGGAATTTAGACTGTTGGAGTCATAAGGACATTGGTGGCTGAATAGTAGATCTTCTCTGGTGAGGCTCTATGGAATTGGAGGTGGGACATGGCCTGATGAATTAGAGCAATATTAGAGACAGGAGTTTTAGAATGAAAGGTGAGTGTCACAGAAGCCAAGGGGATCTGGGTGAATGTGAGGGGGTCTATGAAGACTTTTCTCTAGTCTGGCAATCTGCCAGTCAAAAGAAGATGCAATTTATGGTGCCATGGTAGGGCCACTTTTAGAAAAAATCCTGGCTTATATTAAAGGGGAGATATATCCTGTTACAACGAGGAAGGGGGTTTGCTTTAAAATTTCGAGTCACCTGTTCCCCCTTGACTCTTCCTTTCCCACTTTTAATTCTTAACCTTTTCTATGTTGTTTCTTAAGCTTCCCTGGGATCAGAGATCTTAATCCAGTCTTATTCTTTATAAATTTTTGTGCATGTAGCAATAGACCGTCGCTATGCAATAATAGTAATATGGGACTTGTGACTTTTTCCCCCCAGAGGAACAAAGGAACAGCATCATCAACTCCAGTTTGGAATCTGTCTCATCAAATCCAAACAGCATCCTTAATTCCAGCAGCAGCTTACAGCCCAACATGAACTCCAGTGACCCAGACCTGGCTGTGGTCAAACCCACCCGGCCCAACTCACTGTAAGTATGATGTCCAGCTGCCTACCCCACAAGGACTTTGGTCAGCCATTCCACCTAGAATTTGCTATCTGGCTCCATCTGACTTCGGACCATTGTCCCCTGAACATTATTTAAACCTCCTCCCTAAACTGGGAGCTCAGCTGGCTTGTTGTGGGTTTTTCAAGCATCATCATCTCAGAGGGAGTCGTTATTCTTAACATACTGCTTCTTAGCCTTGGTGATTTTTGATTTACCGTCCTGCTGAGATGGCTTTGGTGATAGCTATTGCCTGTGCTGGCTGCTGGGCATGAAAAGCAATTTCTGTAAGTTTTACAAACATCCAGGGGCTGTAGCAGCTCTGTGGCCGAGTTTGTTTCACTCATCCATGTTGTCTCGGTTTCCCTCCCCACTGACTATGTTGGAAATGTTCAGTGCCGCCTCCGTGTCCGCTTCCATAAGGAAGAGGCTCCAGGAGCCCTTTGTGTCTTCACATCCTCAAACCTTAGCATGAGTATGACTTCTTAACAGATACTATTAAAGAGAAGAACCCTTTTTGCTTTATTTTTGGGCATTGAGCACCCATAGTCAGGACAATTAGTTTGGGGGCTGGTTGTCTAGCCCTCCACAGAAACTAGATCTACTCTGCTAGGATCAGAAAGTTCTCCCTCATGGTTTCAACCCACATTGCTTCGCATGCTTCTTTAGACCATCCCATAAATCTTGTCAACTAGCGCCTTTGCAGAAAGAATGTGAGGCCATGACCAGAACAGTTGGACTCTCAGGCTACAGTTATGTAAGACTCAGGAAAAAACAGAGATGATTTTGCCTTTCTCTAAGTGAAAATAGATTGAGGTTCAGCCACAGACTGTCTTCAGGGCGGTTGTTTCACGTGGGGAGACACTAGCAAGGCGGTGAGATGCTAGGATGTCAGTAACCTTTTACTGCTCCTCCGCATGCCATAGTTTCATGGCAGTACCCTGTCATTCAATCGCTATGAGATATTTACAAATCTGCAAAATGAGTCTGATAATGCCTTAGAAGATACTAAGGGCTATTAAATACTTGGGAGGAGAGATGACTCCAAAATGGACGTAAGAGGTACATAATAAAAATGTTACTATACTGTGGGATGAAATCTTAAACTGAGAATATCAGGTCTTTTTAGTTGTTGGCAGCTTTAAATCATACTGATGTTCAGGAAGCTTAATTATTTGCCCGTTGAGAGGTAAATCGCATGTTCCTTCACCAAGAAGTGGACCAGTGCCTCAGGACCTCAAAATAATTGAATTTGTTCAGCTTATGGGCAGTGAGTCTCTTCTGGTTCTCCATGGCTGGGCTTGCCTAGGGAGCCTCCCTGCCTTGAGGTTTGGCCTTCTTAGGTGCTCCTATACCCGCTTTCCTGGACTTTAGGGAGATTCTATTTTCTTTACTTTTTTTTTCTTCAGTTGGTTTAATTTTCTGTACCTAGCAGTTGCTAAAGTTATTTCTTGCTGTGTATGAGCAAGGTTGAATTTCTAGCCCAAGTTGCTTAACATCCCCTGATTTTAGCCAGCCACTACCAATGAGTGGTCTGTAATTTTTTTTTTTTTTTTCAGTGGCTGGTAGCTGTGAGCCCCTGAGTCACTGCTGAGTACAGTGTGTACAAAGAGGTTGCTTAAGCAGCTAAGTGGAAAAGGGGGGTGTGTCTTTTAAACAGGTCCTAAGGAGAAGGCTTGGGATTTTTTATTTTTTAGGTGTCTAGATACGATTTTTTTTTTTCCATAACATCCTAGGAATCGCTCTGCCTACTTCACACCACCCAGAGGGACTGTTCCCTGCCTGGTACAGATCTGGGGGGCTTTTCTAGGGAAGGGAGGGTGATAACAGGAATGGTTCTACTTGTTTGTCTCTGGAGGAGGATTAGAAAAGGAAGTGTGGGTGTGCCTCCAACAAGACCACTGTCCTTCCAAGCCGAGTGAGTCGCTGATTGATACCTTTGAGTCTTAAGGTCAGGGAAGGTTGTTCCCCGAGGTAGAAGCAGTACCCGCACCAGCACTGATACCAGCGTCTGCCATGGCCCTGAGTGGCAGCCATGCCAAAGTCCCCCATAAGCTCTGCAGGCAGGCTCACAGCCACTTCTCAAACCCAAGGCAGTGAGGTGGTTTTCCTGGGTTCCTGTCTCCCTGATATTTTCTGCCTGGGATTTGCTGGTGTGGATCATGCATGGCTGTTAGGCAGTCCTAACAAATGGACCCACAGTACTTTCCCTGAGCAAATTGATTCTGAGAAATCTGTCGGCACACAGATGTGCCATGGTAACAATCACTCGAGACCACTTGGGTCTCAGCCCCAGATGTGGACCCATTTGTTCCCGCCATCATTGTTCGGTTGGAAGTGTCCAGAGCTCCTCCAGTGGGAACACTTAATGATGCAGATGAAAATGAGGAACATAGGTGAGCTGGGAGGATTACCATTAGCTTGACTATTAAATAGGCATGAGGTGCGGAACCAGCCACCATGAAGCTATCTGTTCTTTTTATTTCACTCCTTTATTTCACTATTTTTTGTAATGACTGGGATATCATTATGACCAGATAGAAAAATAGCAAAAGAAACATGTTTATAACTCATAATACAGTGGTACCTCTGATGATACATTTTGCGGTATTATTAATCTTCCCTAATTCTCCAAGGATATCAGGGCGCTCTTATTTACATGAATGTAATGCTAAATCAGACATCAAAATTAGAGATGCCATCATTCTACCTGTGCCAGGGCAAGGCTGCTGGGTTTAAATCTTTAGCAGGTCCTCAGCTTGACTCCTGAAGTAGCCATCTCTCCTGAAGAACAAAGGACAATTGGTAAGTCAGGACCAAAGTCCAGCTAGTCTGAAATTGTTAACAACTGTGGCTGAACCTATTTTATGCCCAGACCCATGCATGCCAAGCTACCTGGGGTAAACCAGAAAAAGAGGGTTCCTGTCTTCCCCAAGAGTTCAGTCTAGCTAAGGAAGAAAGGCAGTGGCATATGGCAGTGCTAATAGGGACTTACAAATCATAGTGTGTTTAGATTTTAACCACTATTACCTGAGTATCTGCTGAGTGCACACACCAGGTCGAAGTAGTGGGAAAGGTCTGGTAGATGGAGTGTGAGGTGGGCATTAGGAAAAACTTAGGTGGATGGATGAAGAGCATTCCAGGTAAGAGGGATGAAGGAGGCAGAGATTATCTAGAATGGATAATGCATTCTGCAGACATGTATATTAGGGGAGAGGGGAGCTGTAATTCCTCCGGTACCACTACTACCAAAAAAAAGACTTGAATGAACCTTTAAAATCAGGAGACTTCACATAAAATTCAGATTTCATGCTGGAACAATTGGACATCCACATGCACAAAAATGAATCTAGATACAGACATCATACCTTTCACAGAAACTAATTCCAAATGGACCATAGGTCTAAATGTAAAATGCAAAACTGTAAAACTTCTAGAAGATAACATAGGATAAAACCTAGGTGGCCTTGGATATAATTATGACTTACTAGATATGACATTCAAAGTATAATCCGTGAGATAAAAGCTTGTTAAGTTGGACTTTGTTTAAACTAAAAACTTCTGCTCTGTGAAAGACACTCAAGAGAATGAAAAGACAAGCCACACACTAGGAGAAAATATTTGCAAAACACGTATCTGATAAAGGATCAGTATCCAAAATATACAAAGAACTTTTAAAATTCAATAATAGGTAAACAAAGAACCCAATTAAAATATGAGCAAAAAATATGAACAGATACCTAATCAAAAAGGACATACAGGTATCAAGTAAGCATAAAAAATATGATTCACTTCTTATGTCTTCAGGGAAATACAAATAAAAACAACAGTGAGATACCACTACACACCTATGAGAATGGCCAAAATTCCAGAACACTGACAACATCGGATGCTGGCAAGGATGTGGAGCAGTGGGAACTCTCACTCATTGCTGGTGGGAATACAAAGTGATACAGCCATTTTTGGAAGACAGTTTGGTGGTTTTTCACAAAACCAAACATATTCTAAGCATACAATCCAGCAATCATGCTCTTTGGTATTCACCCAAATGAGTTGAAATTTATGTCTACACAAAAACCTGCACATGGATTTTGTTAGTAGCTTTATTTATAATTGCCAAAACTTGGGAAGCAACCAAGATGTCTATCAGTACATGAAAATGGATAAACAAACTATGGTGCACGCAGACAATGCTATAGTATTCAATGATTTTTAAAAATGAACTCTCCAGCCATGAAAAGACATGGGGGAACTTTTAATGCGTATTGCTAAGTAAAAGAAGTCAGCCTGGCAGGGCGCAGTGGCTCACACCTGTAATCCCAGCACTTTGGGAGGCCAAGGCAGGCAGATCACTTGAGGTCAGGAGTTTGAGACCAGCCTGGACAACATGGTGAAACCCCATCTCTTAAAAAAAAAAAAAAAAAAAAAACTTAGCTGGGCATGGTGGTGTGGGCCTGTAGCCCCAGGCTCAGGAGGCTGAGGCAGGAGAATGGGTTGAACCTGGGAGGCAGAGGTTGCGGTGAGCTGAGATCACGCCACCACACTCCAGCCTGGGCTACAGAGCAAGACTCCATCTCAAAAAACAAGAAATCAATCTGAGAAGACTACAATATGATATAATACCAAATATATGGCTTTCTGGAAAATGCAAAATTACGGAATCAATAAAAAGATCTATGGTCGCCAGGGATTCTGGGGAGAGGAACAGGGATGAATATTTGGAGCACGGGACATTTTTTTCACGGTGAGACTATTCTGTGTGATGCTCGAATGGGATATACACAAGATATTATGCATTTGTCAAAACCCATAGAACACGAAGACTGAATGCTAATGTAAACTATGGCCTTTAAGTTAATAATAATGAACCAATATAAATATTGGTTCATGAGTTGTAACCAGTGTATTGCGTTAATGCAAGATGTTAATAATTAAGGAAACTCAGAATGTAGAAATAGAGAGGGTATGTGTAAAACTTTCATGCA